TCTATATACTATAGTCAACCCATTGGGGTGGAACTCCGTGAATAGCCTTCTCAAAAGAGGAAGATCTACCGATTCCATACTACCCACAAAATCATTACACTCCTCCCACAATCTACGCTTAGCTTGAGTATTGCACGCAGGGTACTCATTCACAACACAACACCTTTGGTGTTCTTCAATTAAATCTACATACCCACAAAACCTTTTCCAATAAAAGTAAAAACCAAAGAAGCTTTTATCTTATTCCAAATCGACAGAATACCTCCAACTTGCTCGAGCCTTTGATCACTTCTGACTTCCATACTAAGCACCCCATCAAAAGGAATATTACTCACTTTACCTTGCATTTTATTACTGCGCCCCTGCTTACCACCTATAAGTTAAGGGCTGTAACAACATTCGCACAAGGGAATTTTCTTTCAAATAAGGTTTGGCATTGACGTTGTCCATAGAGCTGTCTTTTTTCAAAGGCACCTGTTGAAAAAAACTCCTTGGGTTGGGCTCCCCACACCATTGGAGTTGTTACCAGCCTCACCTAAAAAAGATGCCAACCTCCTCTTCTTGGCCCACAGCGCCCACAATCTGAATAAGAGAGATCCTGCAGCAAAGGCAGAAGCATGTTGTCTTCCAAGCCGGCATGACCGACCCACCTCCCTTTATCAAAAGGATACGCACGCTGAACCCACCATCTCTTGCTTGACAATTAAAACCCGCACGTTCTGCCACAAGACCGGCTCAATGATGTTGCAACTTGCAACTGCCCGATCCGTCAACTCACCAACATTTAACACCGGGCCTGCCTGTAAAAAGTCACCTTTTGGCAACATGTTACCCATTTTTAAAATGGTTGTTGGACTTCTTAACCTCTCTCGGACGCCTTTCTCACCTCCTAAAATTTGATAAATTTATCATCAGCTTATATTCCTCGCCTAAAATCACTGAACCTCTGGGGCAAGTCTGCTTCATCCCTAATATTTTTTAACTTAAAAAAAATCACCTCCCTGGTTTATCAACTTTCCTTGGAATTAAGACATCTCCTACTCTACCAAATTTGACGAAAAATATGCTATAACTCAAGAGCTTTGGCCTCCTCCAGAAAGTTAGTGAAAAAGAAAGAGGTTGAAGAGTTGTCTAGATTCCTGATAAAGTTGTTGCGTGCATGACCCCCCACCCCCTTTGTAGTCCCTAGCCCCACCTACCACTCCTTCTCTCTCATCGCTCTTTGGTAAGAGTAAGATGGTTATGTTTTTTTTGGTACTCTCTCATCTCTAATTGAATGTCCCATTTTGGTTGGAGTTGCAACTGTCCGTTTTTGTTTATTCAACCCACAAAATGACATGTAAAAATCAAATGTGAATCCTTTAAGATTGTCATTACCTGACAGAACACAAAAATCTTTTCTAATCTCTGCAAGGCAAAAAGAATATGGAATGGAGGTGAATAAAACCTATATTTATTCATCTCGATGATTATGCTCAACAAGAGGCTGGACGGTGAATTGGAGAGCAAAGATAAAACTATTTTGGATCTGTAGCAGAAGAGCCATAAAGTGTGGAGGGCGGTGAAACAGCAAAGGGGTGCCACTAACTAACTGCACAGGCAGTGGTGTGCGGCTAGAAACACGACAATTCCATATTGATTCCCGGAGCAAGCTGGATCTCTGCCTGTGGACAACCTACTGATCTTCGTGTTGCAGTGCCACAAAACAAAAGACTTAACCTGCCTTTTACTAAAGGGATAAGATTATATTGGGTGTGTAGCAGAAGAGTTATTGTCATCCAGTCTCAATGACGAAGGGAAATGCAAAGTGGGTAATACCCAAACAGCAAAGGGGAAGATGTGCTGGGTTGACAGGGACGATGAGACAGCAACTACAGGATTTGGGTTGAGGGAGTCAAATACTGAGAAACATGAAAAGGAGAAAAAATTGAAGTAGAATTCATCTATAAATTAAATTCAGAGGAACTACAATGCAAAAAAAGTAATCCAATTATTATAAATGTATGATAGACCAATGGTGGTCTGTTATCCTTTGTTTGTAACTTGCTAAAGTTAATCTCTATAGGATTCCCATTTATTGCAAGGGCCTTATAACCAAGTGAATGAAAACCAACTTGCTGGCTCTCTTAAAATTCAACCTGTTCCTCTATAAATTGTAAACATAGAAATATGTGCTCTAATTCTGTTCATATGAGGAATTGGTAATTCTGAGAACGCTTTTTCTAGCAACATCGGGAAATTGTGGAATTTGAATCACGGGTAGATCACCAATCAATAGCATCGATGTTGCTGCATGCTTAAGCTTTGAACAGAAATAATAGTATAAAAGCATTTAATCTTTATCTGAGACAAACATTGTAACACCCCAGTTTCAATTATTTGATTTATTTAAATTTGGGAAATTATTTTATTAGAATTAATAAAATAAAAAGGGATTATTTATTTTGAAATATGGAGGAAAATAAAAGAAATAAGAAAATGCTGAGTTTTTAAGTTATTGGGCTTGGATGTTGTTAGTAAAGAGTGGGGGTGCAAAAGAAATAAAGTTATGTTTTGGAACTCAAGTTATTTTCTCATTTTCACGATAAACAGAAGTTGGGATTTTGGGAAGCAGAGCTCTGAAGGTACGAAGAACATCGCTCAAGAATTCAAAGCTGCTAATTGATAAGGTAAGGGGGGCTATTACTCGATTTACCTTTGTTTATGGGTTTATGTACGGTTGATTTGGGTAATCGTAGGGAAAAACCCCAATTGTTAGATTTTAGTAGGAATCGATACCCTTAGGATTGAACCTTGTTAGAAAAGGGTTAGGTTCCCAATTTTTATGAATCGATTAGGAATTTTAGGTCCCAAATGGTGGATTGGGAGTATATCCGCATGATCGTGAATTTACCTTAGAGGCTTAGGGATAACCTTAATGTTGTCAGAAATTCCCTAAAAAGGACGATTAATCCCGGTTACGGTTACTATAATGATTGTTGAAATTTAGGAAATTGAGGTGTTGTTTTGAATTATACAAACTCGATGTCGTTAGGTACCGAAATGCGCGTTTAGCCGGCATTTTCCCGCGTTTGGCTGCTGTTCTGAGCTGCTGCAGGTTCAGGAAAATCCTGTACGCGCTCAGCAACACGGGCCGTGTTGCACGACACGGGCACCCGTGTTGCTCTTCTGTGTTGCACAACACGGGCCGTGTTGCACAACACGGGTACCCGTGTTAGGTCCCCTGTAATGAGAAAAAAAAATGTGTGTTTTCTGGACGCGCTCAGCAACACGGGCCGTGTTGCACAACACGGGCACCCGTGTTGCTCTGCTGTGTTGATTTTTCTGAATTTTGTTTTTTGTGCGTTATTGTGGATTTTATTGTCGTGCTTTTGGATAATGTTATCGAGCATGAATTATGATATGACTTGATATGATTGATGTTTAAATAGTATGCTGAGTGATTACATGCTATCCATATACTGTTATGATTGATGTTGTTGATGTGCATGATATGTTGATTGATGTTCATAGTATGCTGAGTGTTACATACTTACATATCATGTTGCATTTGTTAATTCCCATTGTGTGGAATTAACATGGTGGCCAATATACGTGTCCGCGATTTAATGGAACGTTGAGGTGGTAGCCGTGTCCGCGATATAATGGAACGGTGAGTTATCCGTGACCCGAGATTTAATGGGGCGGTGAAGTGGTACCACATGCATGGGTGTGTTGCATTACCTTGAATATAACATGAATGGATGATTTTTCCAATGTTGTATTTGATTGTTTGTATGCACGTATGATTGCTAAATGGTTGACGATGTTTTGATGATTATTTGCAAATATGAAAAGCAATATATCATGGGTATATGAATTGTAAAGGTTTTTGTTAACTATGAAATATGCTAATTATTGGGTGACGCTTATGATTTCCTGAATTGATTGTTATGAACGTATAACCAAATGTATAATTGAGATGCTCACCCTTACTGTTGAATATTTCAGATTGAGGAGCTTCGTTTAGGTGCTTGGCGAAGGCTTGTCGTTCTAGTTTATTTTCGTTTTAGTATTGTCCGGGTCATGCTCTGATAGTTGTAACTCCGAGAACGTTTGTTTGTCGAGCTGTTTTAATCAGACTCGTTTAATTCCTTATGTTTTGTTATAATATGATGTTGACATTTTCCAGGTGTTAATCCCTGATGATTTTGAAAAATATTATAACATTGGTTTTATTAAATAAATTATTCCGCTGTGTAAACATGTATGGGTTACTACTAAGATTATGCATGACAGGAATTTGTTTTATTAAAAGAGAATTGTAGCATCCTCGAATTATACATGTACTCTGAAATTATGATTTTAATATTTGCGAAAAGATGTTCGGGGTTTTAGAGGGTGTTACAAACATTATTAAACTTCTCATGTAATATTCCAACTTCCAACATCTGTCCTCCACAGCCTCCAAAAATCCCTCTCAATTTCATCTCCCGGTGCCTTCCATAGTGCTAAAGAAGTACCTCGTCTCTAACAGTTTTAAATAGAAAATATTCATTTAATATTTATTATTTGGTTTACTATTAATTATATATTTGTTTGATTGATGAACCAAGGTGCTGCTGGGAATTGAAAGGGGGGTGACAGCCATGATATGGAACAGTGAAATACAAGAACAAAAGTGTTGTTGGACGCTTTGCATGGATATAAATGGAATGAAAAAACGAGGCTTCCCTTCCTCATGGACTCATTTTCTTCACCGGTCTGTGAAAAGTATGGAAAGGAGCAGTAAGTATTTTTGCTTCCCCTCTCTTCTATTTATTTACCAACCAAACAAGAGACTTGTTTTCTCTCTTTTCTAAGTCTTCCTATTTCTCTCCTAACAAGGTGTAACTCCTCCAATTTCTACAATCTATACTTACTAGACTATATCTACCTATAGAAACTTCCTTACTTTACAAAAACAAAACCATTCTGCAATAAAATCCAAAAGAAAAATAGATTTTCATAAGAGATTTCACCTCAAATGACACATTTCTAACAGAAGGTGCCCATTCAGCAGCAATTCGCCTCTTCATTTCCTCAGGGTCGGTCGTAGGTGTCAACCTAAGATCAAAACCAGCTTCTGCCTCCGAAGGTTGCACATTCATCGCAAATCCCTTCATAAACATCATTCAGCAACATCAAAACAAATCAACAACCATCTTCCCAAATAACAAATGAATTTAATTTATCTACGCCTTAGAATAACAAAGTGGCATCATAGTGATTTCATACAAGCATCCAATCAAATTGCAAGAAAATAAAAATATGAGGCATTATGCAAATGCAAAACTCACATCTTGAGTGGGAACTCCTGCTTTGAGATAAACCGGATTAACAGAAACAACTTCAGAATTCATAGCCTTCCCAGCCTTAACAACATCAAACTGACTCTCTCTAAACCTACTCACAACTTCAACACTCTTCATCAAATTCTCCATAGCACTATTATCATACAACTTGGAACCATGTCCCGGTTGTCCCTTAGCCTTAATCTTCAAATTCCACGGAATCCTATCAGCATAAAAAACCCTAAACTCATCCCCAACCGAAGCCTGTCCTTCGTCGAGCGCAAACCCAACGTTAAGCGCTTGAAATTCCTCCGACTCAACAAACTTGGCAGCGCCAGCAAAGCCACCAACCTCCTCATCGGGGACAAGGGAGATATGAACGGAACGAACAGGAACGAAGTTGTTATTGCGGAGATTGCGGATTGCTTCGAGGTACTGCATGGCTATGCATTTATCATCCTGTGCGCCGCGGGCGAAGATGTTGCCGTCGGAGGTGCGGGTGGCGGAGAAGGGAGGGTGGGTCCATTTGGATGATTCGGCGGGGACGGAGTCGAGATGAGAGTTGAGGAGGATGGAGGGGAGGGAGGAGTGGGAGCCGGGCCATGTTAGAAGGAGGAGAGGCTTGCCGGGGGAGAATTCTAAGGTTTTGTGGAGGATACCGCCGATGGAGTTAGCTTGGGAGATGAGGTAGGAGACGGCGGAGGAGTAGTCTGGGGTTGGGTGTGCGGTGTTGATTTGGAGGTAGCGTTGGAAACGGGTGATTGGGTTGTCGTTTTGTTCTTCGAGAGTTGCAGAGAGGAGGGTTGATGAGAGGAGTAAAGTTAGGTGTATGAGTGAAAGACCGCACTGTGAGGTTGCTCTTGCCATCATTATTGTTGTTAGGTGTATCAGTGATTGACCGCACTGTTCAGTCGCTCAGTTCCCTTCACAACTAAGCCTCTCACTCAGCATCAGTCTATAAAAACTTCAAAAATTAAATAGGATATGCAATTTTACATATACTCAACCAAAAATTAATTTTAAATTTTAGGTTAAATTGTTGGTTTTTTATGGCAAAATACTTTTTTTTCCTTTATCTTTTAATGATAGATTAAATTGTTGGTTTTTTTTATGGGTTCAAACTTTTAAAATGACTATTATAGTTATTATATCTTTAAACATTCTCATTTTCGTTATCTTTGTTAGTCAAAGTTAAAATAGTGTCATTTGACATCTAATTGACACTATGCTTACACTAAGATCATCAAAATTTCAAGAAAAATTCTTAAATTTTATCTTTCCTATAAATCCAAACCATGATCATGTTGGTTGTTGGACTAGATACTTTACCATCGGATCATTTCACCCTTCTTTATTTAATTTATAAATTAAATATATATTAAAATCATGATTATTTGTAAATAGAAGATATTCAACTCGACTAATATCAAACTCAGACAGGGCCGACTTTGGGCACTGATAACCAGGTCCAGGGCCTCCAAAAAATAAGAGTTTAATATTATTTTTTATAAATTATATATCAAATAAATAAATAAATATTAATTGTTTAAATTGATAAATAATGTAAGCTAGTTAGTGTAATGGTAAAGAAGCTTATTTTGGCTCAAAGGTCAATGGTTTGATCTATAGGGCCTCCTTTCTTAATTGTTCAAAAAAAAATCAAAATGTGATATTATTTCTCTATTTTCCTTTTTATTGGGGCTCATTTTTAATATTGACACAGGGCCTCCAAATTGTCGGAGACAATTCTGAACCCATATGTGCTTTTCTTATCGAGGTTGTTCATCTGCTGAGAATTAAATCAATAACAATTAATTACATATACATATTCTACATATTATGGCATATACTTTAGTATGGAATACAATATATAATATGAACATGTATATAATTACAAGATCTATGACATGTTAGTATACGAGAGAAGAGATTATAAGAATACTTGAATCTATTGAGAATGTTTATGTTGGCGATAATTCTGAAAGTTAGAAGACAAACAACGAACACCTGATGCCTTGTATGGTTCTTACTCAACTAGTACTCCTAATGTCTTAAATACTCTTCAGATGGGAAAAAGAGGTATATTGCTTGTCTTTGGTATATTGGGGTCATATCCTATATATAGGGTGATGGTCAATTAGGGTTTCTATAATTCCGAAATGAGTCATCCTGACATCCACTCATATTTAAACTAATATCCAATTAATTAATTATTAATTACTAAATATAAATCTAATTAGTCTTTTAAATTTATTTGACCACTTAATCAATTAAAGCTCTTAATTTGATAAATAGCTAATATAAAATTCATATAAATATATTTGTCCATATAATAATTATTGAAATATAATAATTAAAAATAGTATTTAAATATAAAATATTCTAACAATCTCCCACTTGGGCAATATATCTTAATAATTAGATCATAGTCTTTAGGCCGCGTCCAAATGTTATTTATCTTTAGATTTCAACTTTATAATCTAGTTCATCTCATACATCAATAGTGGGACCACCACAGCTATCGTCACTGACGTATAACATGACAAAACTTCAACGACCACCACATCAATGTATTTGATGATATAGATCAATATAGATGAGTGATATGAAAATTTCATGTAATGTGATCTCTGAATCATACATATTTCTCACTGGTCCATCTGAAGTCTTTATTGAGATCAAACTAAAATTTACAAATTTAATATTTGCGCAAATGATACATAACTGGTTATCACAGTAATAATATCATAAACTTTATTTCTACAGAAAATCATAATAAAATTTGTTTATGTATCAAACACAAAAATAGAACAAAAGAAGATAAACTCTCACTAATCTGAGACATCATTAGTGACAACGACCATATTAAAAACCTTAGTTGTCAAATCTTTGATTAGTAAGTCAGATAGCATAAAGTTTTTATTTATATGTTTTATCCTTCAACAACAACAACTTATAAGTCAGTGAACTTTATAAAACAATAGTAGAAACATTATTCGACTGACTTACATCACAATATAGCTTGAGTTGTCTTTCAAATCTTTTTACTATATGCAATCAAGTGACATAAATACTTATAGTCATTTAGGTTTCAATTATATATAAACATCCAAAAGAATCAGAATTGAACATCCTAATGATTCTAAATTATTCGATCTCTAATATGTTAGCACAAGTTATTTGGTTCTCTATAAATCTTTTTTGATAATCGGATGATACCTTGAGAATAATCTCTAAGTATCTAAATACTTAATACAAAAGAGATGTGCCCAAGATTTTCATCGCTAAACTTTTGTTAGAGATTTCTTAGTTTCACACAACAATCATATATCATTGTCGACTAAATAAAATAAAATCGACACATTAAACTAGAAACATAAACTTACTGTCACTGAACTTGTAAAACCTAATAATTTTTCATAATAGACATCTCAAAACCAAACGAGACAATTACTATATGAAATATTATGGCATCACTAATGGAACAATTTCATTAACTCATAAATAGATTTTATCTATTTGTAAAAAAAAATAGATTTTATCTCTTCGCTAACTATAAACTTTGCATCTACTGACACAAAATTTTCTCTCGTTGCGCCATATTGTATTTCTTAATATCGCCATTAAGAAACACTAACTTTATATTCATCTTATGAAGCTCCAAAAATATAACAAGTAACAAGTGTCGCAACTATCATAATAGAGTCTTTCAATCATATCGAATAGAATTTCTTTTTTCAGTCAATTCTTTATGACACTTGGTATTCTAGTTCTTGAGGATGTTAAGTTTGATCTTCAAGAATTAATTTTTTAAATTAATTGAGAGAAAGAACAATAATATTTGTATGAGGGTCCAATTCTTTTCCACTTAATTTTGTTCTTTAACTATATCTCTCCCTCAAACTCAACATTCTCAAGACACATTATAATATTTGTCTCAAAATATTCTTCAATTTAGGACTAAAGTTTATATTTCTCAACCTTTTCAATAATTCTAGATTGCCACAAGTCATGACTTAATTAACTATAATAATATTTGAACTAGTAAGATACTTGTGCGTCCGCATGAGTAAATTCATTTTGATAAAATATAAAATATATTTAGATACATATGTAATTTTAAATGAGTTTCTTAATTGTAAAATGAACGATGATCATATAAATTTAATTGATTAAAATAAAACATGTATTGTATTAATAGTGATTTGTGAGTTAAAATATTTTATTATTTAAAAATTTGATATTAATATATAATATTCAAAAAAATTATTCGATGTCAATGAATAGTAACTAAAATATGTTTCGAGATAGAAAATAAAAAAATGCACACTTCTTAAATTAGATTGGTAACATTATTATTTGTCTGTAATAAAAATAGAAATCTTGTCTCTCAAATAAAGACAATTGTTGGTTAAAATAAAATAGGTAATATAATATAGTGTTCCGTGAGTTGGAAAATAAATTTTGTGATAGAATAAATTATTAATTTTATTAAAATTATAAAATATATTAATTAATATTTTAGTGATAATAAATAAATAAAATTAATTAAATACGTCGTAAAAACTAAAATAAAATTTTTCAAACTCATGACTTGGAAATATATAGTTAAAAAAAAATATTTACAATAATATTTTATTTAAGTATTATTAAAATGCTTAAATGATAATTTAAAAGTGTGGAAAAAATCAGAAAAAAATTAAATTTTGAATTTTGAATATAATTAACTAAAATAATATAAATAAATGAGGTGGAAAATGAAAAAATAATGAAGGAAAGAAAGTGTAAGGTATTTCTTTTAATATTTGTTAATTACAATGAAAGATTTTTGATAGTGTAAATTTTATTTAGATAAAAAGGTAATATTGATAATTTACTTCTATGTTATATTCATAAATTACTTTCAATACTGGTCTAATATGTTTTGGCATTTTAGCTGCTATACTAAAGAAAATAATCCTTATAATTGATTATGTTTTTGTTTTAGTTCTAACTTTAGCTTTCTTATATTTAAGGAATGTTGAATAATTTTTGGCCGGTACATTCTTTTATCAACTGAATTTGTAAGTTTTTAGAAGACATTCATACATTTGTAGTCAAATTCAGTTATTATTAAAATAAATAAAAAATTATAAAGAAACTCATCAAAAGAAATGACATGCAAATAAAAATTGATTTGCATGATATAAATAAAAGTTACACTTTAAACTAATACACTGAAAATGAAAATATATTAGACATACAATATTATCAAGATATTCATTTATAAATAAATAATATGACCAAAGAGATAACAACACATAGCGTTCAAGAATCCTTGAAATTGAAGGTAAGTATATTTTTTTCTTAATTAGACAAAATTCGGTAGTTTAAAGTTAGAATTGCATTTTTATGAGCTATGAGGGAGCTATAAATAAAGTGAAAAACAATTTAAAAAGCTTATAATTATAATTAAAAAATATATTAAAAATATTTTTTTAATACTTATAATTAAGAAACTTTATTTTTTAAAAATATAATATCTATTTAAAATATAAGATTTTTATTAATGAATATTAAAAATAATATAAAAATTAATTTATTAATAAAAATCACGTGATTTTATTTTAGTAATATTTCTTGTAGATATGTGATTTTAAACATTACATGACTTGAAATACATGAAAATTATTTAATACCAAAAATACACATAAATTGTGTTTATAAAATGTAAATGAAATATATTAATGATTAAATCGAAAATATATACATTAAAATAAATATTACTTTATTTTATTTAAATAAAAAATAATAAAATTTGCTTAAACTTCAAAAAATATTATATTATAAATAAAGTTTGTTATTAATAAATATTAAAAATTTCTTTA